TGAAGTCCACAGCTTTGCTGGCTGAGGAATTCTGGGAGTTGAAGTCCGCAAGTCTTAAAGTTGCCAAGGTTGGACACCCCTGCTCTAACTGATATTGGCTACCGTGACACCAGGGAAACAGGTGGTCCTTGACTTACAGTCACTTAGTGACTGTTCTAGTTTACAGCAGTACCCCCAAAATACATATTTACAACCCAGATTTGAAATTCCGACAGCTGACACCCCTCCCACCTGGTTTATGACCAGTGTGTTCGCTTAATGACCATTGTAAAAAAGTTGAAAAATTGCGTGAAGAGATGCCCTGTTTAATAACCAGATCATACGTCCTGGCACAATTATGGTCCTAAATATTAGCAGCTCACTTGTGAATAACATTTATCTAAACGATCAATCAGCCGAAAACTAATGAAGAGTTGATTATTTGTAGACCAAAGAGAGGAGGATCATACAACTAAGGGGTAAATACTGATATATGTATATATATATATATATATATATATATATATTTTAAAGCCCACGATTTCTATTGCATTAGCTGGAAGAAAATATTTAAATGTAGAAAGAGGAACCTATGGTTAGGAACCCCCTGTAAGTCAAACCTTTCTGCTATGGGAAGTTTGTTACATTTCTCTGCCGCCCATCTGACTTACTTAAATGTGCCGAATCGCCTTTTCAAGGCCTTCCCCGTCAGGCGCTCAAGCAGGAGGAGTCGCGAAGTCAGAGCGTCGATGTGACCTAAACGAGGAAGGAGATGTGGAAATGAAGAAACGTCGAGGCAGGAGGCACTGCAGCTTAGACCAAAATGGAACTGCGACACCGCCGCAGGGAGAAGGCAGGCGTAATTCGAAGGCTGAGCTCGCCTGTCCCCCTCACCTATCAGCTTGTTGTATATATTGTGGTTTATCCAATCAGCCATGGTTAGCATGGTACATGCACCAGGCATCTCAGGTTGTTCTGCTTGGAGTCTTTAGAACAGGGCTCTCCGTTTTGCATGGAGGTAAACAAAAAGAAGGAGAAGTTTGAAAATCCACCTACCCACGGTGAACGAGGTATTGGAATGTAACAAGCTTTCCATCCACAGCCGACAGACTTCGTCTTCAGTCAAGGCTTCTACGCCGTAGAAGGCCTGGTATTCTAACTTGGGCAACACGTAAACAGGAAAGTGCTGGAAAACAAACAGAAGCTCTCCCACTTCAAAGTATTTTCAGTCTGCCTCCGCTGCAGAGGTCTCCAAACTTGGCAGCTTTTAAGACTTGTGGACCAAACTCCCAGAATTCTCCGGCCACCTATAGCCACAAGTCTTAAAAGTTGCCAAATTTGGGGATTCCTGGTCTACGGAGTGGAAAAGCCAAAGGTGAATCTCACCCTCGTGACTAGGACTTGCCTTCTCCGAGACCAGCTAGTTAGTGTTACAAGTAAGAAAAGCAACGGCCATTTAGAGAATTACCGTTTATTTGATAGGAAACTCACATTTCTGAGTCATACGGTGACGGTTCTTCCTCAGACGATTTTTGTTTTTACTTATTCTAGAGAAAGCACGTGACCTTGCTGTATCTTGTTCATTTATGAAGCTGGAATTGGACAGGACAGTGGCTCCAACTGTCCAGAAGAAACAAGGAATGCGCCTCTTACACCGGCCTTCCCCCACCCGCAAAACGCTAAGGCTTTCACTGCTGAGCAAGTGTGAAGTCAAAGATATAATTCTAGCATGTACTACACTACCACATATACTACTCACCCTAGAACAGACCACCAAGATTACAGTGGTTAAAAAAAAAGACCAAGTAGCAAAAACATTCACTCCTATTTCTTGCAAATCTAGGTGAGGCTTGGACGAATTTAACCCTGCAAAACTGCCCCCTTGGGAAATCCAGGGAGGGGAAAGAGGACGAATCAGAGATGACAACAGCCCTACAAGCAGCAAACCTTCTGCCAAGAATTCTCTCTCTCTCTCTCTCTTACTACAGGGCTTACAAACTCTCAGCGTTACATTTAATCCCCTGGAAGAAACAGTTCCTGCAAAGGATGCAAGTCTAATGACCCCACCAGGAATCCAGCATCGGAACTGGCTAAAGTTGACTGCAATCCTGAACACAGCACCCTTGTAATAGAGGCCATTCTTTTAAGGCAGGGGACCCCAAACTTGGCCACTTTAAGACCTGTGGACTTCGACTCCCAGAATTCTAGGAGTTGAAGTCCACAAGTCTTCAAGGGGCCAAGTTTGGAGACCTCTTTTTAAGGGTTTTAAGGCGTTTATGTACCCCCAAGAAGGCCACCCTGCCACTCGATAAGACGAGACAACCTACCCTCCTGAATTTCGCCTTTTTCTGATGGGGTCTCAGCTCCACTTTCTGGATAGAGGTCCGCACCAAGAGCAGCATGCCGTCCAAGCTGTACAATTTGTAGACCAGGTTGCCCTGCTGAGGGGGCTCGTAGTCGGCCGCCTCTTCGACCGCGTCCCACAGCATCCCTTTTCAGGAGAGAGGGAAGGAACATGTGGTCATGCTGGCTCTTGTGCACAAAAAATGCTTCACCCATTAAAGGAACTTTACTCATTAATAGGAAATTCCCATGGATCCGGAACAAAGAATGAACTGTGTTACACGCATACCAGAAATGTTTGCAGCAGGGTGGCGACTTTAGGATGGGAAGACTAAAACTTCCAGAATTCCTCAGGCAGCTTAGTTGGCGAATCCTGAGAACTGAAATCCACCCATCTTAAAGTTGAACTCTGGGAGTTGAAGTCAGAATAGAATAGAATGGGATGGGAATAGGAATACGACAGAATTCTTCATTGGCCAAGTGCGATTGGACACACAAGGAATGCGTCTTTGGTGCATAAGCTCTCGGTGTGCATAAAGAAAGTACATTCATCAAGAATCATAGGATACAACACTTAGTGATAGTCAGAGGTTACTAATAAGCAATCAACTCATACTAGGGAACAAATAAAGCAATATAACTGTAAAGATACAAGCACCGCAGTTACAGTTACTCGTTGGAAGAGATGGGTATTAGGAAGGTCACAAGCTTTTGAGAAACACGGTTTTGCAGCTGCCGTCTAGCCGTCGCGTAACCTACCTTTCTGAGGCCCCTGGTAGCAGGTTGCCCAGGTGAACTTGGAGGAGGGGCCTGGATTTGTGACGGTATTTGGTCCTGGCTCCACAACTGAAGAGGCCAAAGGGAGCGAAGGGGCGTCTGCCTGGTCTGGAGTCGGATTCAAACTCCTCTCGCCGGTTACCGGCGGGTGACCCCGACCATTCGGAGAAGGGGGCTTCAGGAGCTTCGTCTGCATTTTCAAAATCTGCCCCAGGGGGTCGGTTTCCTGGGACAGTCGTGGGCGAGACTCGCTGGGAGCATTCCTCTCCGGCGCCCCTGAGGGCTCCTGGGCGGGTTCTTCTGAGAGGACCTGTGCGGGCCTGGGGGCGGGAGGAGCAGACCCCCCAGGGCTGGGGTGGGAAGTGACCACACCAGACACGAGGCCGGGTTCACATTCGGCGTCAATGACCAGATCTTCTCCGTCCGTGTCTTCGGCAGCCTCTTCATTCGTATTGCCGTTTTTATCTGAGGTAGCGATCGAGACATTGCAGTCCAGACTTTCTTCTCTGGCCAAAGCGAAACTTCTGCCATCTGGGTCCGATTCTGTGGGCTCGAAAGCTTCGCCCAATGAGTTTCCCTCCCTGTCTAAATCCAGGAGTGTCTTCCCACTGCTAAGATCCGGTTCCGGTTCCTTTGCTTTCCTCTTCCTCCCTTCTCGCCCTTTCCCCCTGTCCGGGTGCTCCGAGAAGCCCGCAGACGATCCGGACGGCGCTGCAGGAGAGTCCTCAGCCGGAGAAGCCCTGAGAGGCTTTGTGGCCGAGGCAAAGCTCTCCAGTTCAGTGACGTCCGTACCAAAGTCCAAATCCGCAGAAACCGATTCCTGCAAGGACCTGCCTTGGTAGCTTTTGAACTCTGATCCCGGCTGGAAGAGAAAGAGAGAGAGAAAAAAAAAAACAGGGATGCACTCCGGAGACACACATTATATCATTTTCATCACAACACAACCCTTGAATATTGCCCATATTCTATTTCTTTTTTTTTTTTTAATGCAAGCGTCTTATCCTGTGAAATTTAGCCAAAGTTCCTTTTAGGACTTCAAACAAGAGTGAAACTCACCTGCACTTCTGACGGCTTGTCTAGGATCACAGCCCGGGCTACAATACTGGACTGTTTCGTCATGTGAAAATCAGCCAGGAATTCATGAAAAAGTTGGTTTTTTTCCCTCACCGTCATCTCCTTCTTTGGGAGAGGTGGGTTGATGTAGGCCACTTTGACAGGTTTCAGGCCTTTTGGGGGGGGGGAAATGGATTTTTATTTTTTTTCAATAGTAAAGGACAATTATTTTTTAATCTAAACATGGAAGTGCAAGAAGTAAAATTTCCCAGATAAAAAGAACTGCATTCGCTTTCCCAAACTTTTTTTTAAAAAAACCATCATTAGTTGGAAAGAGATAAACAGGCAATAAACAAGAAATAGAGGTTGTTTTAATCTCCACACGGAGTCTTTAGGTGTCATGTAACAGAATAAATAACCCCGAATAAACACTCTTCGCTCTCCGGACCCAGTTAATATTCAACATCAAAAAGAAACGGTGAAGCCATCTACTGTTTCTTTTTCCTAGTCTGTTTCCTACTTTTTTTGCTACCTCAAGATGAACAGTCATTTTGTATAAAAAGAAACCACATTTGTTTGCTTTTGTTTCCAAACGAAGACAACACTTAAGGAAAACTATTCTGCTTGGAGTTAAGGCATGATTCTGAAGTTCAGCGGGGCTCCCTATCAGGAAACTGGAGAGGAAAATGAAAATATGCATGGGCTATTGGGAGGATTGTAATGTTCTAGTGATGAGGCTGACCCTCACTTCGAAATAACTTGCCTAAGTCAGCATTATGACCAACTCTACACTGAAATGAGAAAAAAAAAACGGAGCTCACCAGCAAGAGAAACTGTTTTCACTGACACAGGAAGTTCCCATTGCTGCTTATAATCCAGACCGTGATTGTTCAACAGGGTATACAGAGATTCACCAGTCAAAACCACCTGAGGACAGTATTTGGCAGCCAGTTGTTCGGCATTGGGGTCGGTGCTAATGTCCTTTTTAAAAAAAAAGAAAAATGGAGGGGAGATAATAAATTGTAAATTAGATTGTACGAAATGACATGACTGCACTACCAAGGTTGAAGAATTAACTACTTAACTAAAATACTGAAGTATTTTTAGCCCATATGATAAAATTAGGCAAATATGGCTGCTGTATTTATATATTTGTGCGCTTAAGAATCAGCAAAATTAGGCAAACGTGACTATTATATAGCAGTGCCGTTAAGGACCAACAGTCTCTTTGTTCAGGCATGAATTGGACTTAGCGGAGTCTGCCTCCTGCCCTCATCCTGCAAATACCTCACTCTTACCTATACATGTGTGGGGGTGTTTGCGTGTGCTTAGAGATAAGGTATCTTGAATTGTAGAGGTTGCCAGCGATATCATTTCACCCTGGAACAATGCTTAGGTTTATTATTCGCTGCCCAAGTAGGTCTCCAATTGTCCCTAAACCAGATTTGCAGCAGCTGTTTTGAGTACAGAACATAATAGAACGATGAAGACGTTTTTCTTCCGAAACTAAAACAATGGCAAACTCTGATTATTGCTAAAGATAGGGACATTTCTGAGTTGGGTTGAGCTCAATTTGAAGCAAAATTTCATCTTTTCTAAAACAAACCAACAGCAAATGTTGGCTTGGCCCAAAGTTATAATTTCTTCCTTGTCTATAATAAAAAGTGGAAAAGCTGAAGCCAAATTAAATCCTCCTCCTGATCAGGAAGAGAGAGAGAGAGAGAGAGAGAGCTCAAGTTCACACCAGCTTATGGCTCATTCGCACAATGCCAAGGTGTGTTCACACAAGAACAGCTTCAGAACTCAACGCAAAGAGAATTCTGAGTAACAAGGGGAGCTATTAAGGTGGAAGAAAAACACACCAGCCACTGGGATCACCTGCATGGACTGGTTAATGTGCAAACGTGATGGAAATCGAGCAAAACAGGGCTTGCCTGAGTGCATCCTTACATTGTGAAGCTGGGCAGCACGATGCTCCGGAGTCCCACAGAGTTGTTCATGCTTGGCTTTATCTGCAGGCAAATTAATTGACGCTGGCAGCTTGGGGAAGAATCGCTTAACCAGGTGCACCATCCCCTTGGAAAAAGAGAAAATATATATATATATATATATATATATATTTAAATGTAACACCTTTGGTTAAATGACTGGCCAAGGAAGAAGCCACCTAGGCCTACTTCTTGGGCATGCCTGGAGGGTCAATTGGAGGGACAGCCCCCCAAATCTCCAAGCAGGGATGGAAATCGTTCTTCCTTAAGAAAAGCTCTGACTGGATGGTGGGGAATGGAAAGATTTCTATTCCTTGCAGACAGCTGGTCATTTGCATCGTTTTTTTAGCGAGTCGTTGAGGCCACCAGGAGGTTTATCTGTGTCCTCAGGGTCACCAGTCAGAGCCGAAGAAGCTTTCTTGGATGAGAAGCGAAAGGTCTTCAAAGAAAAACCAGAAAGTCCAGTTGCCTCTCGAAATAAAAGCACCTTTAGGATTTTCTGGGAAGCTTACCAAGGCAAGGAGACTTTTTTCAAACTTCAGGGTCAGCTCTCTACTAAATCGTCCGCCCATGAGGCTGGTAACTTCGTGCAGAGAATACTGTTCAGGATAATTCTTCACGCAGCTCCTACGAGTGCTCAGGAAATCCTCAAGAACGGGGAAAAGGACGGTATTTGCTTATATTTCTACAGCATGAAGGAGCTTCTAAGGCAGAACATTATTTCTCTTCTGTTTTTTTTTTTTTAAATTAACCAATGCATGAAAAAAAAAACCCAACAATCTACCATTAATTCTCCATTCCTGGAAAAGGCCGCAGAGCCTTCTTTTAGTATTACCTTGGTGTAGAGCAAGGCGTCGTCAGAGATGTCACTGTAATCTTTAGCACAGCTTCGAGCAGCGTTCTGGGCGAATTTCAAGAATTCTGCAACTTCTTTGCTCACAAATTCTTTCATTTGCTGAAACATACGTTACCATCCTTTTAGACGTTTGCTTTTACACTGTCTCCGTAGGTAGGGAGGTAAGAAGGAAGGAAGGAAGGAAGGAAGGAAGGAAGGAAGGAAGGAAGGAA